ATGGGATGGGGGTTATGGGATCGCCCCCACCGACATCTTCCAGACCGTGGATCTCTGGGAAGGTGGGAATGGGATCGGGAATGGGATGGGATGGGAGTTATGGGATCATGGACATCTTCCAGACCGTGGATCTCTGGGAAGGTGGGAATGGGATCGGGAATGAGGGGGGTTATGGGATCATGGACATCTTCCAGACCGTGGATCTCTGGGAAGGTGGGAATGGGATTGGGATTGGGAATGGGATGGGATGGGATGGGGGTTATGGGATCGCCCCCACCGACATTTTCCAGACCGTGGATCTCTGGGAAGGTGGGAATGGGAATGGGATCGGGAATGGGAATGGGAATGAGGGGGGTTATGGGATTGCCCCCACGGACATCTTCCAGACCGTGGATCTCTGGGAAGGTGGGAATGGGATCGGGAATGGGATGGAATGGGGGTTATGGGATCGCCCCCACGGATATATTCCAGACCGTGGATCTCTGGGAAGGTGGGAATGGGATGGGATGGGATGGGATGGGATGGGATGGGATGGGATGGGGGTTATGGGATCGCCCCCACCGACATTTTCCAGACCGTGGATCTCTGGGAAGGGGGCACAGGTTGGGCACGAGGGGGCACAGGGATGGATGTTATGGGATCTCCCAGTCCACGGATATCCATGAAGGGGGCACAGGGTGGGCACAGGGTGGGCACAGGGTGGGCACAGGGTGGGCACAGGGTGGATATGGAGTGGGCACAGGGTGGGCACTGGGTGGGCACGGGGTGGGCACAGCGCGGTGCCAACCCCGTTGGATTCCCCAGGGAAGAACCTGGCGTGTGTGCAGCGCACGCTGATGAACCTGGGCAGCCACTGAGGGTGGGCTGGGGGGCACGGGGTGGGCACGGAGAGGGCACAGGGTGGGCACAGAGTGGGCACAGGGTGGGCACAGCACGGTGCCAACCCCGTGGGGTCCCCCAGGGAAGAACCTGGCGTGTGTGCAGCGCACGCTGATGAACCTGGGCAGCCTGGCAGCCGCCAAGGGCGACGGGCTCTTCCGAGGAGACCCCAACTGGTTCCCCAAGTAGGTGCCGGGGGGGGTGCCGGGCATCAAAATCCCCCCCCAGGGACCCCGAAAATTCCCCCAAGGACACCGAAACCACCCCCAGGGACACCAAAACTACCCCCGGGGACACCAGAACCACTCCTGGGGTCACCAAAACCACCCCCAGGGACACCAAAACTACCCCCAGGGACACCAGAACCACTCCCGGGGTCACCAAAACCACCCCTGGG